AGTGCTTGGAACAACTTATACCTGTGAGCAAACATTCTCGAAAATGAAGTATGTAAAGTCAACAGATGGAACGAGACTAATTGACGAACATTTGAAGGCAATCCTGTTGATTGGAAGCAATCATTCCAAACCAAACATTGATGACATTTTGAAAATCGCGTTCCAGATTAACAAATCTCACTAATCACTTTGCTGCTTAGTTTGTCATCTGTATTATGCACAAAAATGTCAGTGACTAGCATTTTGCGTACGTCGTTCCCGTTGAGTATTTTAACTAATAAAGTTGTTGATTGCTTCCGTGTTTTTTCGGTTGCGCAACACTCATTTACGTTTAAGATGGAATGCTGAACTCAGTTTTTTTCTTTTATTTGCCCAAAGCCGTCATTTTGACCTGAAAGTGTTGCACAGAAATCTAATCCGGCCCACCGCGAAAAACGTTTGATGGTCCCTGTTCTACACAAACAAAGCCATCCAAACACAACAGAAGCCCCATCAGGTAATCTAATCAAGCATGATTCCGATGGTGGAGTATCGCCGAAAGTATCCACCAAACGAAGACAACGGCACGAGACTGAGACATAATAGGCACTGATTTGCCACTTGATGTTCTCTAGCAGTCGACCGGCGGTGGACCCAAAAAGGTTACATTGGTTAAAATGCTTCGGAACACTGGTAGTTCGGGTTGACGATGCAGTTGCTCATTTGTTCGCCGAGCACGGAAGTTTGTTTGCATACATTTCGCCAATATGCGAGTTGTCATCGTCAGTGCGCTGATGTAAAGGGTGAAATCTTGCTGGCGTGGCTTGGACGTCGGCCGTGACTTGTGTTGGGACATGTGTCTCGAATTCGAATCGGCACGGTTAAAGTGACCTAGCAGCAAGACGTTGTACATTCGAGGTGACACCTAAAGATTTAGCCGACTAATTAGCCACGTCCGCCAAAAAATAATTGAACTACTCTGGAATTTCGAAAAATAAAATAACTGCTTTCTACGATTCTGCTGTAGATCAAGAATGGTAACATCCAGTTGGACTGTACCCCTCATCGACGAGGAGTATACGGTTGTTTCTTATCCGCCACTACTTAATATGTCTCCAGCAAAAGCATAGTGCAACATGTACATACATGATCTGTGTCAAATATGGACGCTGCTTCTCACTTACAGAGAAATATACCTATTATAATTATTTATTTACAGGATCCACCATTCACAATAATTAATGTTACTTGGTTCATCGAGTGAAACAATTCCAGATATAACATAGCTTAGATGAGCTATGTTCAATTACAGCCAAACTCCGGATCTCTGTTTCGAAACGTGGTCACAAACCGCAATCAAGCCCGTGAGAGCTGGTTTGGATTCGCTAGTGCAGAGGCAATCAAAGCATAGTTATCTTTTCGAACATGTTTGGAACGGTGGGCATGACCTAAGCAACCTGAAGGAATTAAGCGTAGACAATGACAACATAAAAATAGTAGGGGTGACACTCTTTTACACACCAAAAGTGGATCAGTTTGCCACCGTCAGTCACAAGATCACTGGCATCCGTTATCATTCGCCGCTTGATAGTCATTTGATTGCGACGGGCCCTCGGATCCATTAGTCTATGTGTTAGCTGTACTGACAGCGAGGAGACTGTGACGGAAGAAATTGATTGACGTATCACAAAGGATGGATGCACCTACCCTTAAAACACATTTGGCGTCAGAATGGGGAAGGAAGCTACCTATGCAGGGCAGCAATGAGGATCGTTCTTTTTGCCAGGAGTAAGACAAGCGTTTGCGGTCTAAGGATCACGAGCTTATTCAGATACGTGGGCATAGTGGTCAAGAAGCGTTGCTCGTGTCAAGTGATACCGGTGTGTTGGTAGCGATTAAGCGCGGTGACGATCGTTGCGTCGAAATGGGTACTTTCGTCCACTAGACCAACAGTAGACTGAATATGCTTCGTAGTTGGTTCCGGTAAGTGCTAAGAATGCTCGACGACAGCTTAATGAGACAAGGCAGGCTCTACCTGTTGCAATTTGCACGATATGTTCCGAGAGGAAACGGAAGGGAATCATTGGTTTGGCTTCTAGCAATGAAGTCACTGACCACTACGTTGGGTGTTGTTTATTTATCTCCTCCTCGACACTAAAGTTCACGCGACCCACTCCGTACTTGGCTGGAGACAACTGAACAGGGCTACTAACGGGCAGCACCGGAGGTAGGTTTGCACACATCTCTGATCACCATGTTTGTTTAATGTATGTGTGGAGCCGAGCTCGGTGGGGAATACGTTTTATTACGATGCAGGGTTGTGATGGTTGCAAGGAAACTATCTCTCCATTGTACGTTAGACTTCGGCAGCCGATTAGCAACTTGCGACAGCATAGTGTGAATGTACCTCTATTTTGAGTGTTTGCGTTTGGTATGTGGCTTTTAAATCAGGAACCCATCAAACCACCTTTCAATGCACATCTGCATGAGGACTAGTCAGAAGGACGAAATAATTATGTAATGTGGATAACATGGGTGATGATGATCATGATGACGGTCATCATGGTATCGTCAATAACGGGGGCAATACGCGTAGTAAAACGTATACAGTTTTTCCGAATGTAAATAGTGTCACCTTGTTAACCTTTATACTGCAAATCCCAAAGGTAAACAGTAACCTCAATAGGTGGATTTTAGAACACTCAAAAATTGTCCTTTACTTTTGTGGTGAAATTCTTAACAAGGAATGCAAGTTAAATTAGAAAGCTAGGATTAAGTCAATAACCCGGTTACCTGATGTAGATAATCCAATCCCTTCAGGCTGTAGTGAAGCACAGTGGCGAGTTCGTCTTCGTTTAATGTTCTGCCGCGTAATCGCATGATGTCTGCGATGGATCCGGCGCCACAGTACTCCATGCAAATCCACAAGTCTTGGCTATCAAACAGGCTCCCATAACACTTGACGATAAACGGACTGTCGCACTGTTGCATAATGGAAATTTCCTTGACGATATCCGTGAGGTCGCTATCTACGGGAACCTACAAAATAAGGTCCATAATTAGAAAATAAGCGGGACCTAACAGCCAGTTTAAAGAATTACGTGATTGAATAACCAGTGAAATAATTCATGAACCGTCTTGAAATCGGAATCGCGAGATCCATTGTCTCGCGCATTGGATAAATTTGCACATTCAAATGCTTGAGCGCGGGGCTAAGAGTGTAAGCCGAGCAGCTCTTCCGAAACTGTCCTTCGTGTAGATTCATTAAAACACACACCACTGATAATGCTTCCAATTCGTCGGATGGGAAGGAATTATTCGAAAAATAACGAATACTTCTTTGCACGGACTAATTTATTCGCTAAAAACCTTACTCGTGACGAGCAGAATAACAAGGTATCAGCTGCAAACTGCTCGAATCACTTTGCTTGCTGAGATACGGCTGCGACCATACTAATCATTTACAGACGTCAGAAGACGAATACTCAAACCAACAACATAAACAATACTAATGCATCTGCAGTACGCCGGTACTGTGTACCGACGTTGCTCTGCCGCGCAGCCACAAACAGTCGCGCGTGGGCTAAAAATAATGCTAGGGTCGCTCCTTCCCCCACTCGGATTCGAACCCGCAACCTGAGATTACAAGGAAGGCTTGTGATCCACAAGGCCACAGGCTGACACACCAAGAATATGCAAGCAAAACGTGGAGAAGACGTCAACTGTTAGTTCCAAGATCGTAAGTCTAATAAATGGAGGATGAACCGACGGGAGTAAAAAAAAGCAAAACACGTACTACTTTCGATTACTAGTTCATAAAGGGAATAGGTGCGCGGAAAACAGCTCGAAATGTGAAATCCGTTAGCACAGAGATGGGATACATAAACAAATGTCAAGTTGGTAAATTTTCTCATACAATCGGGTCATGAACGTGTACCCATCTGATAGTAATTTGGGCATACTGTAAATGATTTAGAAAACGACCGTACCGGCAGTCAAAAACACAAAGACGGAGGAAACAGACGCTCCACAGGCGTAGATTTACAGACCCAAGTTAACGGCGGAATCTGCGTATGCATTTATTCATGACAGTCGGAAATCATGTGACCTCAGTCTTAACATTCTCTCTATTAGAAGCTGGCGAGCCGGATTTACTTCCTACCACAGTTAACACTCGATTATGGAAGATAAAAAGAAGTAAATGTCATAAAATAAGATTAAGATATCGAGGGGACCTCGCATGGTGGTCTGGAGGTAGTAGAAACAAACGAATCGTGATCAATAAACTCAGCAATAATCCTTGTAACAATGGGATCACCAAAGCGAGCTATCCGTGCAAGAAATGTTGCGTTTATCTCTTTCAAAGTATGCACAACAACAAAACGTTTTCGCTCCTCGTGCGGGGTGCGCCAATCCCACCAGAGCTACTGTTGCAGTGCACATCCAGATGTTGTACTGGATCACAACATATATGGGTGAATTCTCGACGACACGTTGTAGTAAACAAGGCTCTGTTCCCTACCAACGCTTCTTTCCTATGCGAAGTAGCCTCCATATGAGTGCCATGATATGAACAAGCAGCCCATTATACCTATCAAACGACTGATTACCCTGAAGGCATTAGGGGAAAGTTATACCTTTATCGACTGATGGGAAGTGTTATCAAGGCTAAGAAACACACAAGAAAAATCGCCTAGTGTTTCCAAAGTTCAAATTTC